ACACACAACTTTTTCATTCTATGGGAGATGTACAGATCGAGAAACTTATGGGGAAATGGTACACGGTTCGTTATTCCTTCTTTCTCTATTTTTTTTTTTTTGAAGAAAATTTTAATTCTGTAATAAAAAAAACTGAATTATTTTAAGGAAAATTCAATCTCATTTGTGCTTATTTCATAGTTCAGTTATAGGTCGTGGATACCAAAGCAATTCATCCTGAAGACTGTGCAGTTCACTACTGTGAGTTCCAGTATTTTACACTCATTTTTAATTGATTAGTTGCCGAATTTAGTTGAGCTACTAACCCAAACAGATTTTACTGCCACATTCTCATCTCTTCAGTATTCCCACTACAAGGGAGATACAGTAACTACTCAAGGTTTGCATTGAATTCAAATATTCTTCTATTATATACAGCCTTACTTTCTCAGGCATTGGCCGAATGATGGGTCCTGACCCTGGAGAGGTATTCTACATGACTGGTCACCCCTCAGATCATTGTCCTTGTAAGTGTAACTCATTTCTCAAGAGAACATGTCCAAAGCGAAGCTAATTTTCAGATTTTCCCGTGAAAATGGGTGGACTCAACTCACAAGGCGAATACGAATACATCATATTCAGTCAGCCACTCAAATACCCGACAATGGTATTAGCGAGAGATCTTCACAAATTCGAGCAGAAGTATAAACAGGAAGTTTACGCCTTTTTAGAGAAGCATGGATATCTTAGCCCAATTGCGGCGCTAAACACACGATTACATTTTGAAAATGCTACTGAATGTGATCAATTGATTAGATACTACGATCATATGCAATTATGAATTGCTTCTTTACTGCTTTTCTATCTGACCCTAGGTACGAGTCTCAGCATCAGTATTGTGATTTCAAAACGTCATGAATGTACATTTTCTCCTAGTTGTTGAATGTTTGAAGCTTTTGGTTACCACGACATTTTGCAGAATCCAATATAGCAGCCTGTTTGTCAAAAATTAGAAAAAAACCAAAAATGCACATCTTCTGTCTGTCCAGATATTGGCAGCTTGGATAGTGATGACAAAATCCAAGTTCTGTAATGATTCCCGAACCAAACCTGCGATGTTTGTTCGAATTTGTATCAGCATGTACCAGTTTGTATGTCCTTTTTTGGACAATGAAACATCAACATATTTATTAACAACACTGTCAGCATCAACATCTCCAGCGCAAATTACTGAC